ACAGTGATGTACCTAGCAGCTCCTGGCATCTGAACAGGGTGATGAATCAGTATTTCAGCACACCTCTAATTTATTCATGCTCAAGATTAGGAAGCTCTGTCCCAGACTGGCTATTACAGCAGGGGCTATACTTTTGGCTTTATACTAAGTTTAAATCCTAGATTTATCTCTTAATAGCTATGTGACCTAGGCAATTTATTAAATTATCAGAGCCAGATTTTTCATTTATAAATGAGAAATTGTCTTAAGAATTAAATAATCCACATGTAACTCATTAGCAAGTATGTCACATAATTAATACTTGAATAAGATTAGCTGTTATTAAATTTATCATTAACTATTTTGTGGCTGGATGTTTGGATCATTTCCAAAATTATTATGAATATTTTTATAGATATATTATTGAATACTTGTGAACATAGAGCAAGGATTAGTGAGTTAAAGTGCTTGCAAATTTTAAGTGTTGACAAGACTCAAATTACCTTCAAATAGTTACACTGATATTTTTATTCCTATTGTAGGTGGTTTGATAAAATGACATAAAGTGTAATCTATCAAAATTTATTTATTTAATTTTGATGAAGGTCTTTTTTGATGATTTTTAGAATCAGTCATTACCAACCTCCCCAAATCCTTTTAGAAATTGATTGTACTTGCATTATAGATATCCATTTACTTAGGATAGTGTGGAAAATTATATTTTTAGTATTTTGGTTATCTCCCAAAAGGAATATGATATGTATTTTTACTTCTGTCATGTGGTTATATCATTTAGGAAGGTTTTATAGTTTTCTGTCATAATGGTCTTATAGTTTTTCAATTTATTTTTCAATGTACAATATCTAGATATAGGTCTTACTAGTTCTTCTTTCTTTGTAATTTATTTCTAGATATATTCCAGAAGTACTTTTCTAGTTTTTGCCTTTATGAATTGGGTCATTTGCTCCTACTTTTCCTATAAAGTTACTGAAAGTATAGGTAATAGGAAGAATAATTTTATATACAATATCTAGTTGTTTTATTCGTATCTCTTGATTTCATCCAAATTTCCCAGTAATTATTTATTTGCATTAAATTTACTTATTATATCATTTCTGGTTTTATTATGTTGACCAGAAGTTTTAGAACATATTCCCAATATTAAAATAATGGTAATTGAATCTTTGTCTAGTTTTTTAATTTTAATGAGAATGTCTCTATTGTTTTATTATTTTTAAGTATTTTTTTAAATTATAGGTGGACACAATGTCGAATTGAATCCAGTGCCTCATTCATGCTAGACGAGCATTCTACCCCAGCCCTCTGTTGTTTTATTATTAAGTATAAGGGATAGATAGTATAGGTTTCTTCTAGATTACCTTTATAACTTTAAAAACATTTTGTCAAATTTGTGGTGTGGGGTTTTCTTTCAAATCAATTGGTATTATATTCTACAGTTTTTAATACATCTACCCAACATCTATCTATCTCTTTTTTTTTCTCTCTCTCTCTCTCTCTCACACACACACACACACACACACACACACACAGCACATGTAATGCATCTTTTGAAATGCTGAGCAGTTTTTTCTGGCAGCTTGTAAGGTAAATTATCTTAATTTTGATCTATTTTTTAAAAATCATTGTAAAAATTATTTATTACTACATATTTTTGTACTCTGTGCAGTTTCTTTACCAGAAATAGATAAGACTTGATGACTGTGTATATAGAAAAAATTCATGTATACTTAAAAAAAAATATTCATCAATTTTGATATCTGAATTATAGTAGCATATAGTCATTGCAGAGGATTCCTTCCTTCTTCCCTTTCTTCCTTCCCTTCTTTTTTCAGGCTCTAGGTGAGTTTAGGTATCATAGACATCATCTGGTCTTTGAAGGTCTGACATAATAGTGCAGCTCTAAAGCAGTGTGGGCCTGATTGTCTTAGTGTATGGTACTTTTAAAGTTCTTCTGCAGTTTTGTTCCATCTCTTCAATTTTGTACTAAAAGCAATTCAATCTATTTATTTTGATTTATTTTCTCTTTTTCTAAATTTTGAAATAAATTTTATTTCATTCAACTTGGAATTTTTTCATTATAAATTCTACAGGTTTTGACACCTTATATTCATAATGTAAATATAAATTTTATTCCAAAATTCTTTTGGTCAAAAAGAATTTAAAATACTTTTTTTAAGTTCTAAGTGTTTATATTTATTATTAATTATTTTTATTTCATTATATTCAGAGAAAATAACTTACATGATTTCAATCTTTAGGAATTTTAAGTAAGAATTAGATTTTCTTTTCATGTCTTGGTACACTGTTAATTTTTAAAAATGCTACTCACATAATATATGTATACTCCCTTAATTATTTTACAGATAAAAATATTGAGACTTAAAGGAATATGCTCTTTGTTTTATTTTGCAGTTAATTAATAACTGGTGTACCTGGCTTTCTGAAACTTAATCTAGTCAATTTATTAGATCTTCTATCAGAATGAGCTGTGTTTGTATAATGGTTTCTAATGTTTGAGTATAGTTACATCGAAATAAATTCTGTAAGAAGTACATTTAGAATATGATTTTATATTATGATTTAGAAAAATAGAAAATAGTAGATAGAAAGTTGGATCTTTAGAATTAAAAGTGGCTTCACTGAGTTTTATTGAATGGGTCATGTGTAGATATATGGGGAATGAATAAGAAGGGACATAATATGCCTAGGGCACCTGAGAAACAAAGACAGTTATGCATTTGCTTGGTGAGTTGGGGTTAGGGAACCTGACCTAGGTGGAAGGAGGTCCATGTTGTGGAGTAATGAAAAATAAGATTCAACAGGTAACACTGCATCTTATTGAAACCTGGTGTAAAGTTTAAAAAAAGGAAATGCAAAGCTGTTCTATTACTTAATGATCAGTGTCATATTTCATGTTGTAAGTGTATCATCAGCAGTCTCTGCAGTAATTATCTTTAAATAATTATAATCATAGGTAGCCAGAAAATATGACAAATATGATTTTAGAACAGAATAATAAGGAAGTAGGTAAAGGTAATTTAGCATAATGTTAACTTTATTCATAATACAGATTGTATTGAGCCCTACAAAATGTAACAACATGGAATATCAGTTCAGAAGTTAAATAGATTCAAGTTTATTTTAAAAGCTCTAAAATTTCTTAAGAAGGAAATTTATAAAAAAAAAAAAATAGTTGAGAAATGTCTTTATGCTTGCAAAAGAGTGTGTGTGTTTGAAAATGTCTCACATCTCTACTGGTTTAGAAACTGTAAGTTGAAAAGTTCTGTGACCAAATTTAGGATTCATTTGTGAAAATTTATAGAATCTTATATTGAACAAAATCAAGAGGTAAACATAAATTACAAGAGGTTATATATTTTATTTCACTAATAAAATCTGCTATAAAAATCATACTTCTATTTTGAAAGGGGAATATAGGTAGGGTTATGTTATAACTCCTCACATGTAAATCAATATTATTTTAGGAGACTCAATACAAACCCAATTCTGACCAAACACATGAATGACATCTGAAACATTTATTCTTCTAAAAGTCTTCTACTAGTTTTTAACAGTCATTGTCTCAGAGCCATAATAACAATAATGAATGGTTACTGAAATTTATGTTTTACATTTTTTCCTCAAATTCAGTATACTTTATTAATTGAACATGTGCTCTTTTACCCCTCTCCATGGAAAAATATATTTTCAAGTTCAAAGCAAGCTTATGTGTGCTAATTAGTCATACAATGAAGATCCTTTGATTATCTACATGTTTTTTAATCACAAGAAGTAAGACTTTGGAATGACACGTATATCTTGGGAAGAAAGTCACATTTTCCCTCTTCGAAAAATACTTATTTCATTCTATTTATAATACTTTGCTGTATAGAAAGGACTTGTTAGCCTTCCCCTTAGTGAAGTGTGGTATAACTAGGCTATTTTATGTATGTTACTTTTTCTTCTTTCAATAAAGTACAGCCACATAGATAATAATCTCTGGATGGCCAAGAATTAGTTAAGAAAGGCATGTATGTAAAAGCAAAAACTTTGTAATAAAATGGAGTTTTTGTAATGTGTGTTGCATGTAGAACAAAATACTTTATGGTTAATAGAATAAATTTAGATATTATCCTAATATAAATGAATTTTATGAAAGTTCTCTTTAATCACATGGGCTTCAGCTGTATTTGGTGTATAAATCTATAAATAGATTTATAGATTTATACACCAAATAGATTTATAGAGTCAAATATTTTCCAGATTTTGCTCATATGTGGAAACATGTAATTATGATGAAAAATAATAAATATCAGTGAATTTTAATGAATATTTGATCTTTATAATTACATATAAATTCTGAAGTATTTGTGTCTATAAAGAAAAACCAAGCATCAAGGTAATAAAAGTATTCACAGTATAGAATCATTATTACTATGCTAATAAAATTCAATAGCTATTGTTGCAACAAGGAAATCACTTTGTGGTAACAAATGAATGCTAATGATTTAATATTTTATTCTTTATTTGTGGATTATTCAGCTAAAATGTGGTTGTAGTAGAATTACTATGCACTTGAGAGCCAGCCATTTTCTTTCAGATATGGGTGTTTTGGGGAGCTATATATCATAGAATTTGGATATGCAGACTGATGCTAGAAAGGTAAAACAGAATAAGGAAACTTAGCATGTCCACCTTACAATGCCTGTAATATACTTTGACCAGCTCTTATACAGTTTACAACATCAGTCACATCATAAGCTTAATTTTTTTTTTTATTACTTCTGTGTGTAGATATAGCAAGAATACGTATGGCCTATGTGGCCAGTCATTCACAAAACTTTGGAAGTATGTAATGTGGGACAGTGTTCTTTGATAAATTGTCTTATTTGTAACACATTAAAGGGAAAAAGGCTTTTGCAATAAAAATTTAAAAGGTAATATTGAAGGAATTTAACTATCATGATTGACCAAAAAGATAATTTTGTTGCATTTTCTAGGCAATTAAGTTGGAGTATTCAAGGTTGGTTAAGTTGGCCCAAGAAGACACCCCACCAGAAACAGATTATCGCCTGCATCATGTAGTGGTCTACTTCATCCAGAACCAGGCGCCAAAGAAGATCATTGAGAAAACATTGTTGGAACAATTTGGAGACAGAAATTTGAGTTTTGATGAAAGGTAATATGAAAATAAAATATCTTATTCATGTGCTAAAATTATCGTTGTTTTGTTGTAGACCCCTAGTGCAATTTTTATATGTTTATTTTATGCACATGTGAACTCATTTTAATAAATCTACCACAAGATTTGATCTCAGCTAATTTGGATGGTTGCTTTATAATTTCTCTAAAAGTCTATAATCATGGCCCTTTAAAGTTTGAACTGAAAATAATTTAGGTAATTTTAATATATTTTAATTGTGAATCAAGAAATCACAATCCTTATGGGATTCAGTATTTTAGGGGAAAAAAACATGATTTCTTAAGTTTTACACCATGGGCATGTTAGGTTAGATAATTTTGTTGTCCGGGCTGTCCTGTGATTTCTAAGATATCTGGCAATATCCCTGACTTCTACCTGCTAGATGCCTGTAGTACGCCTAGGTTGCAACAACATTAAATAATCTTAAAATATTCCCAATTAACCACTGGGGAGCAAAATCATTCTTCTGTGAGAATCACTCCTCTGTGAGAATCACTGGGGAAAGTTTTAGTTTTGCATATAATACAGTAATTAAAGCATTCACTAACATATGAAAAGGGCTTTGAATGGTTAACTTAATTTGATTCACCCAAAACTATGTTCTCATAGAAATGTCTATAAAATTGCTAATGTTGAAAATTAAAATTTTATGTAATTAGAATGAATGCTATTACAGCAAATTTAAACCCAAATAAAGGTCTAAGGTATTAAAAGTTACTTTATGGAAACATTTATGCTCTTTTAATGTAATTACAATTTAATTCTGAAATAGATGATTGTCCTTTTATGAATATCTTGGAAATACTGAATTTCAAAAGTGTATCAGAGGATTATATGAGGAGAAACAAAGCACCTAGGATCAATTGTTGCCTTATATTTTGTCTGCTGTGACATTTAGAATTAAGTGAAAAAAATAAGTAAATGGTTTTAAACATATCTAGTAGACAATTGAGTGTTCAATGAATGTTAGCTATTGCGATTTATATTAGTAGCAGTATGTGAATCACTTAAAATTGTTATATTCAACTGTAAAGAACTTAATGATTCTGACCCTTGTTATCTAAGCTGTCAATGTCCTATGTTACAATGTGCTGTTGACTTTGGGGAAGGAGTTTATGGGGTAATCACATTAACTTTACAATCTTTTGCAATTATCTCTCTTTGGGAACCCCAAGTAGTCAGTATGTTTGGACAACTTGATCTTTCTTGTGCTTGAAAGATGAGAATTAGGTGCATCTTATGTACTAAATATATTTTGTGGGGATTTCTTTAGTATTGATTCTGATCAGAAAGTCTATTGAAATGTTTTTATTCTCACCTGAAATAATAGGTTCATTTTTAAAAGAATACTGCCATTTGGGGGAAAAAAGAAGGTACAATGTCTCTTCAGCTTAAAGATAAACATTATGAAAACCAAGTTTCATTTTCCCCCAGGCAAACTGCATTAATTAAATATTATTTAAAAGCCATATGTAAATATAACACAGTAACTTTGAATTAAAATTATTGATGCTTTCTACTTTGTAGTGATCCAACATTGATTCAAAAGCCACACTTTTCACTTTAAAGGTTATTTCCTCAAGTGACAATGGATTTCATTTTTATACATGTTTGGTACTTCTGTGTCATTTAGCACATTTTTTTTTTTTTTTAGTTTTATGGATTTTGTTTTTGATTTAGCAATATATTTCTTTTATTTGAAGGTGTCACAACATAATGAAAGTTGCTCAAGCCAAACTAGAAATGATAAAACCTGAAGAAGTAAACTTGGAGGAATATGAGGTAATGTGGTATTTTGAAAGGTTGATTTAGATTTAGTAGGTGTTATGTATTTTACTGATATTCTTTTCATTTCAACATGTAAGTTTAACTTTATTATGAATGATAAAATTTAAATGTCTGAGTCAATGCCAAAGTTATTAGTACTTCTAGAAATAATTGTAGAGTAACTTTGATATAATGACATGTAGATCCAAAAGTTTAAAAACAAAAGGGAAGTTTTTCGTTTTATGCCCAGTTCTCTCGGATTTTAATACTAATTCTCAGTTACTTTTAAGATGAGCTTTTCTAGTTTAAAAAGAAGTGGCAAATTGCATTGTTAGTTTTGCAATTTTTTTATTACCTATTAATATCTTTTGACCCATTTGCATATGTAAAATGATTTAATCCAGACAGGAACACCATGAGGGAGATTGTATTCTTATTATTGTTTTACATATGAGAAAATAAGGCATAGAATGGTGAAGTAGCCTGCCTCATATTTTCATAGCTACAAGTTCACAACTTGTGTAACAGAAATTGTATTCTTGACTGCTATACTACCCTGACAGACTGACAGTGTGCTGTATTTTTTTCTTTTAGTTTACTTTGTCACATATTTTGGGAAAAGTTAAAGTTTAAGTTTCATTTTAGTCATGTGCCATATGTATTTGTCATTGTGAGACAGTGCTGTGTGTGAGAGTGTACACATACACTCCCTTCTGTGATTGATTATGGAATGTGTGTACAAAATCCTCTCTATATTAACTTTGGCTTTAAAAATTATGTTTTTGGTCTGATGATATAGCTTTGTGATAGAGAACACTTGCTTTAGCATGTGCAAGGTCATGGACTCAATCCCCAGTGCTGCCAAAAAAAAAACAACCAATATACCAATATATAAGATATTTTTATTGTAATTGACCAATTCAGGGACTTGATATTTCTTCAACCTTTTAAATTTAACTGTCTGCTGACTTTTTATTTATAAGTCTAGTGATTTTAAATTGCTTTCCTATGTGCCTTTGATTAATATTTGGATCCAGAAAAACACTATTTTTGATGAAAACCCCTAGCTAACTTTGAATGTATGGTAACTACTTTAATTCACTTGCAATTGCTTAGTTAAATTCACTAAAAGTAAAAATAAACCCAAAACTATAACAAATACTTAACAATTGTGAACACTGAATGCTTATATTTTGTGATAAGGAAAAATACAGAAAGGCAACAAAACCAAGCAAAAAGTAAAACATTGAAAAAGAAGAAACAGTCATTATTTGCATATTTTTGTACTCAGAAATTAGAACAAAATCCACAGAAATTTATTACCATGAAACAACTTTGCAACACAAATCTACTTTACATGTTAATTTTATATTCATATACCTGTAGCAAATAATCAGAAAATGAAATTAAGATAACCATTTACAATGGCATCAAGATCATAAAGTTCACTGAAATGTTTTTATTCTTACCTGAAATGAATACTTCGAAATAAATTTAACAAAATATGTACATGACATCTGCAGAGAAAAATTACAAAACTTTTGTGGAAAATTAGAGACCTAAATAAATAAATGGAAGCACATAAGATATTTGGAAAACTGATATTGTAAAAATGTCAGTTTTTCGCAATGGTTTATAGATTCAGTGTAGTTCCTATGAAAATTCCAGCAAGTTGTTTTATGGAGCTTAATAATCTAATGGGAAAATTTTGTGGTAAGACAGAAATCCTATTCTGAGACTTTATTGAGGAAAAGTGTGGAAAGGCTTATTTAGAAATCAGAACATGCTGTCTTAACAACTGTTATAACTATAATATTAGCATAAAAATAGGTAAATTAGAAAAATAGGGCAGACTCCAGGATTGAAAAACAAATTCACCCATAAGTGGACACATGTATAAGAGATGGCAAGCAAATCAATGACTGGGAAAAAACTAAAATTGAATTTCTTAATTTTATATAAGAAATCCATTTCACTTATACAATTCTTTTGTATAAAGCTGTGTAGATGTTAACATGGACAGAAGTTCAAAGATGTTTATTTACGCATACAGGAATCACATGGAGAATTTTATCAGGATATGCAATCTGGAACCATAGATATTCAGAACATTTCCTCATGACCATGAGGAGCAAGTCAGATCATGATTTAGCTAATAGTGGCTCTAAATCTATTCCCATTAAGTTTGGTAATCTCTCTATCCTTGTCCCTAAGGAATTCATGTTCATCTGATTTGATTTTTTAATTATGATGTTTTCTACAGTTTGCATCCCAGGTTGCTTCAACAGATTAGATTCCGAGAGTTTATTCTCAACCTTCCATATTCTCACTGCAGAACCATACACAGCTATTTAAAGGATGTTGTTTTGAATTCTGCTCACCTGTCATCCTCATCTCTTTTTTTTTCTAAGTTGAGGAGTCATAAATCTTGACCTATAGACCAAATCTAGTTTACTACCCATTTTGCTTAAAAAAAAAAAAAAAAAAAAAAAAAAAAAAGTTTTATCAGAATGCCACTATTTGTTTACTTATGGTCTGTGTCTGATTTCACACAGCAATCACAGTTGAGTACCTTCAACAGAGACTGCATGGTATAGAAAGCCTCAATCACTTGCTCTTATCCATTTATTCAGAACTACTAAGGTAGTTCTAATGACAACATGGAGTGGCAGTTTGAATACCTTTTCCAGTAAAGTTAACATTATACTTGGAGAACAAATTTTATTTTATTTTATCTAATAGTATAAAAACTATGCCTTGAAAAGTTAAAATTAAGATTAAAATTTATAAATTAAAATAGTTTATTCTAGGAGAACATGATTGGCCAATAGCCTATATACATGTTTCTTATTAACATGTTTATAATGATGTCTCTATAAAAGCTTTAATATTTTTATTATCAGAATTATTTTAGGTAAATTCTGTATTGAATTTCAGTTTTCTTGAGTCAATTTTTAGTAAACAGTTGAAGAAAATCATTATTTTGTTGCCTTAAAGATTTATAGGTTGTCAGCTCTGACTCACTTCACACTATTACATGCTCAATAAACTTTTGGAAGGGGGAGCAGGAGGGGAGGCAATGAAATGTGAACTGCAGGTATCCTTTTACCATATCTCATGTGTAGACTACTCAACTACAAATGTATTATTACATTTTTCTTTAAGTTCTTTAAAATTCTATATCAAATAATAGTTTTCAAACTTTGAAATAAACTAAAGTAATAGTTTTCCTCCTACCTTCAGTGCAATAGAGAATAATTTTCTGAAATGCTCTAACATCCAAAACTTTTTGAGTGTAACTTTTTTGGATATTGGAGCATTTCAGATTTGGTATTTTTGGATGAGGGATGCTCAGCTGGTAAAGTCTATACAAATACTCCACAAATTTAATAAACTTGATATCTTAGACACTGCAGGTCCCAAACATTTCTGATAAATGATAATTAATTTTGTCCTATAGTAATATTTTAATAGGATGATTTTATACTAAATAATTTTGAGAAAAAATAAACTGATTATCCAACCTTTGTATTTCTTACCTTCTAACTAGATCTGTTATTTCCTATTCACACTTAATAATTTTTATGTGTTTTATGTTCATTTGTTATTATATACATATTACTGTATGTATTCATTGGAAAGTGAAGTGTGATTTACATCATTTTTCTCCTGAATTCTTTATTTCTCTTAATTCAAACAGAATAGTGTGTTACTTTATGAACAATTTTATTTTAATTTTAAATCTTAGTGTTTATATTTTTAATTCTTTCTTTCACCTACAGGAGTGGCATCAGGATTATAAGAAATTTAGGGAAACAACTATGTATCTTATAATTGGATTAGAAAATTTTCAAAGAGAAAGGTAAGGCAAATGCACAAATAGGAAAAGATTTATCTCAGGAAAGATTTTATTCATAGTGTACTTTGTTTTTTTTCAGGGAACGGGTACCAGGGATTAAACCCAGGGACATTTAACTGCTGAGCCATATCCCCAACCCTTTTTTGTCTTTTATTTAGAGACAGGGTCTCTTTGAGTTGCTTAGGTCCTTGCTAAATTGCTGAGGCTGGCTTTGAACTCATGATCCTCCTGCCTCGTCCTCCCAAGCCACTGGGAATACAGGCATGAACCACTATGCCTGGTCATAGTGTACATTTTTCATAAACATTTTATTAAGAATAATTTTTATTGCAGAAAAATTGCAAATACAATACTTAGGGCTCTGAAATAACTATAGAATATATTTTCCATTTAAATCAAGTCTCTAAGGCTGGGGATGCGGCTCAAGCGTTTGATCCTCAGCATCACATAAAAATAAATAAACAAAATAAAGATATTGTGCCCATGTATAACTAAAAAAAATTAAAAAAAAATAAAATAAAGATGTTGTGTTCACCGAAAACTAAAAAAAATAAATAAATATTAAAAAGTTCTCTCTCTCTTTCTCTCTCTAAATCAATCAGTCAATCAATCAATCAATCAATCAAATCTCTGGAGTTGGCATTAGTGTCATTGTTTTTATCAGCTCTGAGATACTGCACTTAAAATTTAGGGTGAAATAGGATTAAATCAAAGCCCAAAAACTTTGTGGGGGACTGAAAGAGCTGGTAGCCCTGCAGAGAAATCTTTCTGTTCCCTAGCATTACCCAGCAGTCACTATGCTTTTTCATATTATGAGTCTGATCTTGACTTAAGTCAGAGATGCTGGTTCCAGTATTTTAATTCTCAGGTACCATAAAAAATATATCTGTAGAAAACTTGTAAGAAATGTGACTGTAAACACATTTTAAATTAATATTCACTTAAATTTAAAATAAAATAATTTCTACTTATATAATATTGTTACTTTAATTATCATTAAGAGTCAGGATGAATTTTGACTTTCTGTGCCATTTATTTACTAGATTGCATTTACTTATTTCTACACATACTTTTTTGATTTATATCTTTAATACTAATTTGACTAGAGATTATTTTTTAAGTACTATAGTTTCAATAGAGTGTATTATTGTGGCAAAGGAAAAAGAACATTGAGTTGTTTCTTGTTTTAATAAAGTGTAAGAAGTCTCCACTGATGTAACGATTTATTTATTTATTTATTGAAAAGATGGAAATTTATATCTAGTATAAATTGTGACCAACTGTGTGTCACAATTTAAATTAATTAAAATTATTAAAAATAAAAATTCTGTTTCTCAGTCATACCATCCACATTTCTAATGTTTAGCAGCTAAATTTTGCCAGTAGCTGCTCTGCTGTCCAGCACAATACAACAGTTTGCCATCATGGAGAGTTCTGTTGGGTAGTGCTCTTCTAGAATAGAGTGCTGGCATTTTTACAGTTATCACAGTATTAAGAGTTCACATACAAAAGGAAAAGCAGTGTTTTACATAACATTGTGTCTAAATAGATAAGAATTATTAAGATTCTAGTTACTGTGTTGTTTATAAAATAATTCATTTTGCTCATTGATACAGACATTGATTAATAGCCCCATTTATTTAATGAGTTTAGATTTTATTTCTTTGATAAGAATATTTACACTCAGGATCTCTGAGTTTTGTCCTTATATAAGAACAAAACAGTAATATAGTCTTAAAATAGTATAATGTCTAAGGTCAAAAAAGCATTGCAGTTTTACAGATAAAGAACCAAGACTCTACAAAAATCTTATCAAGGTCATTCAACTAACAAGAGAGAAAATTTAAATATGGACACCCATATATTCTTATATAATTTTGTGAAATATCTATAAAAAGCGTGTTAAGACAGGAAGATTGCTTGAGCCTCAGTATTTAAGACCAACCTGCTCAATGTAGCAAGATCCTGTCTCAAAATAACAAATTAATTAATTATCTCATTCCATAAGAATTAAAAAGGTAAAAATATCATTTTGAAGCCAGTCGTATAGCTTCTACCTTAGTTTCTCAAAGTCTGTTGGACTTCTTAAAGTTTGGTAAAAGACATTCAAAGATATAACTTTGAAGAATGTTTAAATTTCATAATTTGCTTGATAGTTCTCAAATATGTACTTGTTCATCAAGTCAATGTTTATTAGATTGGGATTATCAATTAGAAAATTTTAATGATGTCAAATAATATGGTATGTTTTTAGGAGAAATGTTAGCCTTATGACTTTCTTAAATAATGTTACCATAACTAGTGGTATATAAAATATTGCCAAAAGGTTGTGTCAAACCTATTTTTAATGAATTGAAACCCTGCAATTAAATACTTATTGATGAGTCTTTGTCAGTTCTGTGCGTTTTGGAGTAAATGGTTTTAGGAACCAAGTTTACCAGTCTTTTTGTTGTTGTTGTTGATGTTGTTCTGGGGATAGAACCCAGGACTGTTTGGGCATTTTCCCAATGAATAAAATTCCTCATCTTTTTATAATTTTTATTTGAGACTGGGTCTTGCTAAGTCACCCAGGCTGGCCTCAAAATTGCCTCAGCCTCCTGAATTGCTAGAATTACAGGTATATTGTTACATGGTCTTATTTTATAAATAAGAATATAGTAATTGGCTGAATTTTATTTTGAATTTTTATATATTCATAAGCATTTAAAATTGATAAAATGTTTAAACATTTTGTCCTCTCCGTGAAGAATTGTACCAAGATCATAATTTTAGAACTATTCTCAGAGTGGTGACACAGGTCTGTAAGGCCAGATATTAATATCATTCAGGAGAGACCTTTTAATAGCAAGTGTTATGCGTATCAAAGGAAAGATAAAAGAATGAGTTATTTATTAAACAACCAAACACCACAATTTAATAGTATAAAAATATTGTATATTAGTACTTCCTTTTTTCATTACTAAAACAAAATCTTTAGTTAAGAATATGTTTATTAACATAGTCATCATTTCAAAATAAAATTTCATACTCAAGTTTTCTCAAATTCTTAAGAAAAAAGCATTTTTTAAAAAAATGTTTGAAAATTTATCATGATGGTTTCAGATGTGTAATATGATTTGTCATAAATGTGTGTATTAATTTTCAAATTTTATTCTTAGTAATTGAGTATGAAAATAATTTATTTCATATCTGAGCACAGAAAGCAAATAATAAACAGTAACATTGATTGGCAACATAGAATTTAAAAATAAATCTTTTACTGTATTTCCTTGTTTTAGGATGTTATTTTTTTTACACTAATCTGTGAAAAGATAACATTCATGACTGGACAAAAATGATACAAAGGCGATATCTTTCACATTTCAGTTATACAAACATGACTGTTTTTCTTTGAACATGTTAAGACAATAATTATCTTCGATAAAAGCACAATACTCTGTTAAATATTTTCCCTTTCTTTTTCAAGCCTAGTTTAAACTTCTTGAATTCTAGGCTTATATATTGTTTACATAACACATAGACTTTGCCTCATCAGCCTTTTGTGTTATTTACAGTATTATTTTTATTTTATCCCAGTAGATTTCCCAGATTTAGAAGAACCTTTCTCTCTTCCATTTCCTCTGTTGCCTTTGGATATTCTTTCTTCTGTCTTCTACATGTTTCTCAACAACTAGAACTGTGTATGTACATATAGAAAATTTGACAAGCAATCACTAGGGGATCTTGAAACAAAAGATCTCAATCCATCCTTCACAAAGAAAACCGATGCTGTGTTGTTAAATAAGTAGATTGTTGGCTTTCATATCAGTCGTAATTTTTAGTCTAAATAGAAGACATCAGAAAAATAAGCTGGGCCCGGTGGCTCACACCTATAATCCCAGTGTTTTAGGAAACAGGAGAATCAAAAGTTCAAAGCCAGCCTCTGGAACTTAGTAAGGCCCTAAGCAACTTAGCAAGAACCTGTCTCAAAATAAAAAAAAATAAAATAAAAAGGTTGGGGATGTGGTTCAGTGGCTGAGTGCTCTTGGTTTCAATTTCCAGTACCAGAAAAAGAGAGAGAAATAAATACCAGAAAGACTTGGTGCTGATTTCATCAGTTATGGCCTTGTCTCTGAGCTTTTATTAATTTCTACATTCTATTTTTTTTTTCTTTGAAGACAGATATGTCTTATGGTTTCATGTGTTGCTGTTGCTAAAGAGATTTTTCTAGGGCATATAGTGTATGGTTTAAGCATATACTTAAATTGTTTTGTAATTATAATTGACTTTTTTCTTTACAAATATGAAATGCTAGACATCATTACCCTAAGTACATGTATGAAGACATGGATGGTGTGAATATACTTTCTATACAACCAGAGATATGAAAAATTGTCCTCTATATGTATGATATGATTCTTAATGCATTCTGCTGTCACATATAACAAAGTAGAATAAAAATTTTAATAAAATGAAATGCTAATACTATGTTTGTTTTTAATTTTTAAGTTATATAGATTCCTTGCTGTTCCTTATTTGTGCTTATCAGAATAACAAAGAGCTCTTGTCGAAGGGCCCATACAGAGGACATGATGAAGAATTGATATCACATTATAGAAGAGAATGTTTACTAGTAAGTTGAATGCTTAATGTATGTTTATGATTTTGTCTTTCCTTGGGCAAGTTTTCTTGACTCACATGTAAGTGATTGACTAAATCCTGGCAGGGTAATAACCACAATGATGTCTATACACTGGATCTGTTCCCTTAAGATGACAAAAGTTCATTATCCTTGTTCTGTAATTTCAGGTATTCAGGTGTTAAGCCAGAAATGTTCCTAACATGAGATTACATTGTTTTCATGTGTGTTAGATTTCATCATCACACTAGGAAGGGCTGCTTAGATCTTAAGAAAAAAAATGTTAGAAAACAAAGTATAGATGTTCTGAGATTTTATAAATGGTGGTATACTTGTTGTATATAATGGCAAAGAATTCACAATGAAATCTTTTTTTTTTTTTTGCACCTGAATTTAGTAGTTTTTTCTCCTAAATATTTTTAATAAATGCTGAAATATTATTACAAACTTCAAAAGTTACTTTAAAGAATTCTTCTTACACCAGTTTATTTAACTTCTAATGTCTGGAGTACTTTATTGATGCTCCTTAAATCATCTAGCCTTTCTTTAGAAAATGAAAAATTCCATTAAAATTTTATTATTAGATTCCACTGAGTTAACTAATTACTGACATCATACATCATTCTGATCTGTATTGTGAATTCCTAAGTTGTAATTTTTTTCTTTTTCAAAACAGAGAGACAAAGATGTTCAAGGAGTGTATATTTTTTGAACCCACAATAGGTTTATTAAATGGATTAAGTATACTTTAAAAAACTTAAACTAGTCTGCTGTTGAAATGTTTTCTTTCAATAGAATCACACAGCTTAAACTAATTGTAGTGTATAGTTAAAATATTTGAATGGGAATATTAGCAATTTACAGTCTTACTATTTAGCTGATTTTTGCTGCATTTGAGTCCATTTTCAAACTTAAATTGTTGATGATTTTATGTCAGTTGGGGATGGTGTTATTATAATTCATTATTATTATGGCTCTGTGAATCAAACCTAAGACCTCACAACTGTAACTGTGCTAATCCCCAGTCCTGAGAATATTAATTTGACCAGTTTCAAGGGCTTTTAAATATTTCCCTGAGAAAGAACACTTGAATTAAATATATTTTAGCTTAAAAAACATTCAGAGTTTTATGTAAGTACATAGAGACAGGCATTAGATGTATTAGAGCAATTTTAACTTAGAACAATGAATATGCGGGCTATGGAAATGTTTTTATTATAGCTCATTTTAAATAAAAATGCAACCCAAATTTGGTGATTGTTCTTAAAATATTCAAAAAATGATAAAATATTCCTCTTTTCATTTTTAATAGTAAAACAGTTACACTTAGTTGCTTTATATAGGGATTTACATGAAACTGGGTCAGGAGTGTTCATTTCAAGTTTTTTCACATTGTATATTTACTGAGTATCAGGTTCTAAAGGATACAGAAATAAGTAAGGCACATTTTCTTTCCTTAGAGAACTCAATCATCTGGTAACATACATACACAAATAATTTTTATATTCCTCATATGAATTTGCATTTGCAAAAGGAGATGTCTGGAATTGTTCAAAAGAATTTTAAGAGATAGATAAACACTGATCTGGATCTCCTTGAATAAATGTAGAGAAGGGAGAATGTCATTCAGGTCAAAGGAGACACCAAGTGAAAAGTCCTGGAATGTAAACAACAGAAAATGAAGATGGATTTATTGTGGCTTAGATATGGAGGAGGGGCAGGTAGAAGTGCCAGGCTGACAGCACATCTTGGTGGCAGACTGTGAGGAAGCCTACCCATCATGCTTATCAGTTTCAGTCAGTATAAGTTTGATTAAGTTTACCATCATTAGGTTTGTTTTCAAAAAATAATTTTGGCAGTAATTGACAATCCGTGGGTATCCCTGTATGTAGAGCAGTTTGTAGAATATGGTGTGTACACAGCAAAAACTTGTTGAAGGAAAAAATAATTATTTTCTATTTTTAAACCAATGAATATAATAGTATGTACTTATTTGACCTTTATATAGGAGATGATGAAGAGTTTTCCAATTAATATGTAGTCTAAATCTCTTAAAATGGCCTTTATAATGATGATTGAAGTAGTATAAGCTGAACATATACTTTAAAAAGTTTTTATCTTTACTGCTTTTTACTTTGATTTCTATTGCTATCATATGCACATTTTTTTCCTAAAGAGATTTTTCAGAGCTGGAATAGGTTGTTTTTCTTGACTACTATTTGTTCAATACTGTTTGTGAAATACCTATTGTGTTGTTTCAGTATTAACATTTACAAGTATTTTATTAAAAAGGAAATAAAGCTCTTGTTCTTTTTTTCATTGCATTAAGAAATTAAATGAGCAAGCTGCAGAACTGTTCGAATCTGGAGAGGATCGAGAAGTAAACAATGGTTTGATTATCATGAATGAATTTATTGTTCCATTTTTGCCCCTGCTCCTGGTGGATGAAATGGAAGAGAAAGATATACTTGCTGTGGAAGATATGAGGAATCGATGGTGTTCGTACCTTGGACAAGAAATGGAATGTAAGTTTACACAATACTGATGAGTACCTGAGTTGCTAGGATTAAAAGAATTTAAAATAAGATATTTATTCTTGCTATTTTACATTCTTTAATATTCTTATATTCCCATCATTACTGGTTTTTCCCTGTTTACCAATTAAGCTGTGCACATTGCTGTTCCCATTTATATTTTATCTCTTCCACAAAATGGCAACTAATTTTACATATTTCAAAATGAAACAGCAGCTGGCCTCTGCTACATAATCATAACTGCTGATATTCTTTTGATAATTTTTCTCAGTGTTTTGATACATCTGATTGTTTGTGTTGCAGCAAACCTCCAAGAAAAGCTCACCGATTTTCTGCCAAAACTGCTTGACTGTTCTACGGAGATTAAAGGTTTCCATGAGCCACCAAAGTTACCTTCCTATTCCACACATGAACTCTGTGAGCGCTTTGCCCGAATCATGTTGTCCCTCAGTCGAACTCCTGCTGATGGAAGATAAACTGCACACACACTTTCCCTAAACACACTGTATAAACTTTTTTTAGTTCTTAACCCTTGCCTTCCTGTCACAGGGTTTGCTTGTTGCTGCTATAGTTTTTAACTTTTTTAATTTTAATAACTGCAAAAGACAAAATGACTATACAGACTTTAGCCAGACTGAAAATAATAAAGCTGAGAATCGCATGGCACTCAGACTTTGTTTTAACCAGAACTGATGTATAATTATAAATCTGATTTTATTTTGGCAAAACTATGCTTTTGCCACCTTTCTGTTACAGTGTTACTTTGCTCTTTTCTTTGTCAGCAGCTTTCCATTCAGTCTGGATTCTTCCATGACGACAGCCATTTTAAGTGTTCAGCACTTGTGTACGATACATAATATTTGGTAGCTTGTAAATGAAATTAAAGAATAAAGTTTTATTTATGGCTACCTATGTGTTTGTAAGCAGGTATATTGTATATTAGTTCATTGTTTTAGCTATAATATATAAATGAATTTTGTCTGGGAATTAAGATTGGGTGACGTAGGTTAGTACAGTCTTTTTATTTTGCTATAATGGTATCATACTGGAAAATTACTAGGTATTTGACACTTACAATATTTCTATGTTTTTTACTAAGTTGTTGAACTTAGGATGGCACCTAAACTTGTTATGAATTCAGTCAGGTTTTCACTAAAGTGAGCAGCAGATTTTTAAGTCTATGTTCACTGAAACTTAATCTTTCTTAGATTAGCCTTTTGTTTTTATATATTTACAAATAATATAGCAAAGTAATTATTTCAAGAGAAACCTGAAAGAGTACTTGAATAAGGGCTATTTGTGAAACCTAAAAAAGAAATATGTGTACACACACACACACAAACACACACATACTCACATGTATATTCTACATAATGGAGTACAATGTTTTGCATTATATAATCATTCTATTTTTGTAAATTGTATATCACTTTAATTGAAAATGTTCTCTGCTAATCAATGCTGTGAAATGAAGTTGATATTGTTTAATTAGAAGTCACGAGTATCTAAACTGCTTTTATTTACTTAATTTTCAAAAAGGAAAAAGCTGTAGAATATTTTATAGACGAACTGCTGTTTAAGATTAATGAAATAATATTGTCAATGAAAGTCAAATCAATGCTTTAAAGGTAATGATGTTACCAACAACCTATTTTTGAATTTATAAAAATTTATTATGATACTTTGTTAGCATAGTAAAATATATCATTATGCTATGTCTATGTTTGTTATAGCGTCGAAAAAACTAGTACTTTATTTATAAAGTGCCTCTCACAAAAGATCCTGGATAGAAGAGGAAGAAAAAAATAATAATCTATCATGGTACTTTTTATAAAGGTATCATTGTATAGCTAATGTGTAATGACAAGAAGTTGCTTTTATTCCTGTTATAAAGTTAGATTTTGCATATTGTAGCTATCAAAATGTAGAATTTAGGCTCTCTACTGAAGAGAATACTGCATTGGTTTTCAATTCTTTTTAAAAGTATAGAAACTTCATATGTATCATTATAGCTTTTGTAAAGTATCTTCGATATTTTATAACACTCTACCACAATGGTTGAGTTGTTTTTGTTTGTATATATAATTGACTATCAGACACAGAGGTGTTCCTTCAAAGGCACATTCAGGGAATTATATGGCCCTTGCACTGACGGTAAGTATTGTTACTGTGTTTACTTTGTACTTAAAAAAAAGTACTAGAATTTATTTAAAAACAACTTATTTAAAGAAATGACCTTTGCCCACATCTTCTTTTTATATTGACTTTTAATCTAGTCTTAAGATTTATGTTGGTAAATTTGTTTATATAATTTACTGAGTTAAATATAACTTAGAGCTAGTGATTTTTAAGAATTGGAACCTCATAGAACTATTGTCAGTGGCAAGTTTGATTTTAATTTAAATGATTCTCATTTTGGTCATTGCAGTACTCTCTTCCTACTCCTCAAAAATTACATTTTGAAATAATTCAGGATAGAATTCATGTAGATAGAATTGAGACCAGTAGGAACTTCTAATAAACACACAGTTGAAAGGAACAGTAGCCATAAGTGAACCTTAACACTATGACTACTTAATATTTATCATATTTATTAAAATACAGTTCATAGTCACACTAAATTAGTATTTCTCCAACTGCAGTTTCTAGAACCAGCAGCGAGTGGAATCTAGAAACATGTCAGAATTGACCATTCTTGAGCACCATCTAAGGACTGAATTCAGAAACTCTTCCAAGTTATGTGTGTCCTAACTCAATCTTTGACATGATTGTAACATTTGCTAAAATTTGAGAGCCACTGCACTAGATAAAACTGTTGGTCGCATTTTGTACACCTTAGAGTTATGCTGTTTAATTTCCAGTCACCTGGGGTTCTTTATTGGAAACTTTTCCACATTTCTCTCACTTCTGTTTTCAAGAAAGTGACTTGAAATTTTTCTTTTTTCTTTTTTGCTTTGGTTTACATTTAACTAAGAGGTAAATTTTTCCTTCTCTTTTATTTAGTTCTCCAGAAGTTTAATATCTTTGTTTTGTGATTCAGATTTTGACTTGCTTATAAGTCCTACCCTCATCCCCCAAAATACAAAAACTTGGATGTTTGGAGGGTGGTGAACAGGAATAATCTTGTGCAGTTTTACTTTTTATTTTGCTTTACATTGTTAGATAGGTTAAATACTTTTTGTTGTGGTCATGATAACTTCACCCAAAGTGCACATAGTAGTCTGCTAGGGATGTTATAACAAAATACTACAGAGGTAGTGACTTAAATAACAGAAGTTTATTTTTGTTGGTTTTTGAGTCTGAATGTCCAAGATGAAGGCATTAGCAGGTTTGATTTCTCCCAAGGTCTCTCTTAGCTTGTAGATAGTGTCCTTCTTCGTATGCCCTCCACTGACCCTCTCTGTGCACACATCTATGATGTGCCCTCCTCTTTTCAGAGGGACACTAGTTCCTATGAACTAGGGCTCCACCACTAAGACCCTGTTTAACCTTAATTGCATCCTTAAAGGTTTTACCATCAAACATACTCACATTGCGGTTTGGGATGTCAACATGAATTGTGGTATGGCATCAGTCTACAACACTACGATTTATATACCTTCTACCCAGAGTAAGAGTGAGATTGTTAGTATCTTCTCTTTTTGCCTTAAGATGTAGTACAAATATCTGTAGTTCTTCTCTTTTTTAAAAACTTTCACTTAAAATTATAGCAATAAAAATTATAAATTGCTCACAATTCTCTTATATTATTCAGTATTTTTATTGAATAGATTATTGTTGAATGAATGGAAATAATCCATGTTGAATTTTGAGTCTATTTCATCTATCTCACCTAACAGCATACCATGGATGTTTATATTTTGCAAGTGTTCTTATTCCATGGCCCTTTTTCATCCCCCACTTTACTTATACATACATAAATGAGGGTGGGTTTGTTGTTATTATTTTTGTTTTAGTGAAAATTGGTAGGGGAGAGAGTTATTTACAAAAATGAAGTAACCGTATTTTTTTTACAAATCATTTCTCCCTTTCTTTTCAGTACTTTCCAGCATTGTCTTGTTTTGGTTCGACCAACAATTTTTTTAAAAATAGAGTAAATAACACTAATAATAATAAAAATAAATGAGTCATCACGGAGGAACTATATACAGTTGAATGCACACATGCCATACTCTTCTGTTTTTGGAGTGGGGGAGGTATTGGGATTAAACTCAGATGCACACAACCACCCAGCGAGTCATATTCCTAACCCTATTTTGTATTTTATTTAGAGGCTGGGTCTCACTGAGTTGTTTAGTGCATCACTAACTCACGATCCTCTCCTGTTCAGCCTCCTGAGCTGCTGGGATTCCATGCGTGTGCCACCATGCCTGACTCCATGTATTACTCTTAATCATCATCTTTTTTAATTTTTTGGTTGTAGATGGACACAATACCATTATTTTACTTATTTAGTTTTATGTAGTGCAGAAGATCGAACCCAGTGCCTCACACGTGTTAGGCAAGCTCTACCACTAAGCCACAACCCCAGCCCTTTACTGTTCTTAAGGACTATTTCACATCTTCACTACCATCCACAACCTCTTATTCAGTCAGCTGCTGTAACACTGGGTGATCTTTCTTTGCTTTATCAAGAAAATTGTGAAAATTAAGTATGGTCTTCTTTCACTTTTGCACCTCCCTACCTGTAAATTTACAGTTAATTATTCATTAACCAGAATGTGTCAGGGTTGGCCATTGTTGATAACCCAATATTATGAAGAAAATACAAATAAAGGGGAAAATGTATGTAGTGAACTTGCACATTTAATTAAAATATAGTCATTATTTTGAGGTTATGTTTGTTCTTCAGAAATAATCCAAAAATCCCACTCTTTTTCACCCTATACTTGTCCAAAACCTTTACATTATGTTTGTCTTTTTTTTTTTCCAGGAATCTAGAAAGCTAGACTAGTGTTCATATCCCTGGTTATATACATCAAGGCATGTTAAGGAGGTTTCCTCTCATGTTTGTTTATTTGGTCCTACAGATTTAGAGATTGAACCCAGAGGTGCTTTACCACTGGGCAACATCCCCAACCTTTTTTTTAATTTTGAGATAGGTTCTGCTAAGTTGCCAAACCTGGCTTAGAACTTGTAACCCTCCTGCTTTAGTGTCTGTCCTCTGACTCCTTATGATTGTTCCACCATTAGCCTCATGTATGTTCTTTAAAACCTTCTTATAAGGGAACTGGTTCAAGAAGAACAGTGGATTAAGTAGTTGCCCTTCCAATTTTAATTTATGTGCCTACCAGTGGCCTTAATCTGAAAGTCTGTGACTGAGCCAAGCTCAAGTCAGGTGGATGGATTTGCTTTTCCTATTACAACCATTTCTTACATGAGAGGCAGGGGACTTAAAATTATTTTAATACCTCCTTATCTGTACAACATACCCATTTTGGCTTGTACTGTAGCCAAAGCTATACACAGGTATTTTTCAGTCCATATCGATGCTCTCTCCTGCTCTCTTCTCTCTTTCGTCTCTTTCTCCATCTCCTGAATGGATGGGACGTGAGCATGGACTCTGGACTCTGGAAGTAGAGAGCCTGGATTCAGACTCTTTCTCTTACACTTACTTGCTCTGATGAGCCTTGAGAGGATGATTTAACTTATTGTGTCTCAGTTTCTTCATTTATAAAATGGAGGTTACAATATAGATTGCTTTGGAAGATTCTTTCAAAGTTAAGTGTCTCTCTCCATATAGAACATTTTCTATAGAACTAATTGCTGCCTGCATTCATTCTTGTTTCCTTTTCTTTCTACTATTTAAATATTACCATTGTTGCTCAAGGCACAGTATTTGGCCCCCTTCTTACTCTTTTCACCTCTTCTAGATGGTCTTGTCTACAAATTTGTCTGCCCATACTGCCTACATAACTCACCCGTCAATATTTTCTAACCAAAAATTTCTTGTTCTGGATTGGTAAATATTTCCAGTTCTTTATACTGGGAATGTTTCAGAGACACTTTAAACATTACACTTCCAAACTGAATTCATCACTTCCCCAAATATTCTCTTGGTGAGTGATACGATAATCTGTAAATGAGAATTTTAAAAAATTTTAAATTATCCATTGATTACCAATATGGACTAGATAGATTTTTAAAATACCTCCTCACTTATACAGCTGTGAGGTCTCTCACTCAGTTTGAACTATTGAATCTGTCTCTGTCTTTGCTCTTGCCTGTTTAATCTGTCTTCCAACTGTTGGAAGAATAATATGTCACAGTGACTAGTGGACTGAGCTCTTGTAGAAGGAGATCCTATTTCTTGGGCTAATATTTATTTTTTTATTATTTTTATTTATTTATTTATTTATTTATTTATTTATTTATTTGCTTCTGGTACTGGGTATTAAATCAGTACCAGAAGCAAAAAAAAAAAAAAAAAAAAACAACCAGGGGTGTTTAACCACTAAGCCACATCCTTATCCCTACCCACTTTTTAAAATTTTGAGACAGGGTCTCACTAAGTTGCTGAGGCTGACCTCAAACTTGAGGTCCTCCTGCCTCACCCTCCCAAGTCCCTGGCATTACAGGCATGTGCCACCACACCCAGCCCCATCTCTTGTTTTTATAACCTCAGCACCTCTGGTGCAGGAGGTGCACTTTTACCACTTCACCAGCTCTGCAAGTCACCCTAGACCTGCACTCTTAATTTAGTAGCCTCTAGCTA